GGACTGAGTTGATATGGGAAATACTTCATTCTATTAAAACATATAGACATGCAGAAAAAAAAATGTTGGTAATGTGAAGACAAATTCAAAGAGAGAAAAATAAGATCTGTTTGAGATGTCTTCAAATTCTTTACTACTCTTCCCACTACAGGGAGATTAATTTCCTTCCCCTAGAATCTGGGCTGGTCTCAGTGATCTAATAGACCAATATAAGGTGCCTGAACTCTGAAGGCTAGATCATAAGAAGTCTTGCATATTTGGGCCCAGACTCTTTGAAAACTCACTCTTAGAGCCGATAGAAAATTGGTGGACAGACTATTAAAGAAGCTCTGAGATCACATGGAGAACAAGAATTGGATTAAAATGTGAAAATTCATCAATATCATTCACCACATTAACTGAACAAAGGTGCAAAAACAACTTGATCATCTAAGTAGATGCTGGAACCATCTAACAAAATGCAAAATCCATTCATGATAGATATTCCCAGCAACTAGGAGTAGAGGGAAACTTCCTGAACCAAATAAAGGGTATCTACAATAAATGTAGAAACATCAAAATTAATGTTGAAAGATTGAATGACTTCCTTCTGTGATGAGGGAAAAAGCAAGTCTATCTGTTACTACCACTGTAGGTTAAGGGGGTTGGTTCATTATTATTATGGGAAGTTGGGTCAATGTATAATGTAGTATCCAGGGATCATTTCTTATGACTCACCATCCTAGTCATTGTCTAACACGAAGTTTCCTACAATACAGTCCTCAAGAGCACTTTGTGGAAAGCTTATAGAAATTGTAAACAAATCAAACACTAACTGTTCCCATATTTTGAAGCAATTAGGAAATATTAGATTAAGTAGTGTTCATTACCTCATCCAAAAGGAATTTGAGAAGGATTCTTTTCAAAATTTATTTGTATTTTATGAATATACTTGATCATGAAGGTCTCTTTCCAAGAATATCTTTTCACTACTTTGAGAAACACACTCTAACAAGATTATCTCTGATTTTTAAGATCCTTGGGCAGTAAAAGAGCAAGCTGATCTCTCTGAAAGTCATGATAACAACCATGGACAAGCTCTCCTTTCCTACCAATTCACTGACTTTCAAAGGCTCCTCTGTTCTTGGCTAGCTGTTTCTAGATGCTAAAATAGAAAAGAAGGGGATCCAATTTCCTATGTTACTTGAAAAAATTAGAGACTGATTATATAACATTGACTTTCCCCTGAGAGTATTGCTGAGGATATTCAAAAGCATTCCTGAAGCCTGTTACTTAAGCTGATATAATGAAATACACTGCTAATCAGCGTATTTGTAAGTAACACATCACAATCAAATGGAGGGAATCCTGGTAGGAAAAACAAGATCCAATTCTACTGAAGCTGGGAAATCTCTTGGTTAGGAAGAAGAGGGAAAAATCTGAAGAATTTGCTTGATATTTACGTTTTGTCCAGATAATAAGGAACTATTAAATTAATCAGTAAATGTGGCTAAAGGGAGATATGCTTGGATGTCTACAGAAGAACTAGATTGAGAGGGCTTTGAATATGAAGAGTTACCCTTGGTTCTCTTTTTACTGTGGCATCATTTGAAGTTTATAAGCCAGGGTGCAGTCTATCTCAAGCTCCACACTACTAACAATTTTGGCCAGATAATTCTTTGTAATGGAGTGAAAGAGAGTGTTTTAGTCATATTTCTCACTGCTGTGACTAAAGGACCTGAACAGAACTGTAGGGGAGGAAAAGTTTATTTAAAGGCTCATGTTTCAGAGATCTCAGCCCATAAGTGACTGGCTCCATTCCTTGGGACTCAAGGTGAGGCAGGACATAATGGAGAAAGAGTGTGGCCAAAGGAAGCAGCTCATATGATGATCAGGCAGAAAAGAGAGAGGTTTCCAATTGCTAGATACAAATATATACCCCAAAGCCACACCCCCAATGACCACTTCCTTTAGCCACACCCCCCCTGCTTCCAGCCACCACTTAATCCCATCAGAGATTAATTCACTGATTAGGTAAAGGCTATATAACCCAATAATTTCTCCTCCAAACATTTCATTGCCTCATAGATGAGCTTTGGGGGATACCTCATATTCAAACCATACAGAGAAGGAAGTAGCTGGTCCATGCATCATGGAGTATTAAGCAGCGTCCCTAGCATCTCCCTACTGGATACTAGTAACATTCCAACATTCCTTTCTTCTTAACCAAAAATGCCTCCAGACATTCCCAAATGTGCCATAGGGAATAAAACTGCCACCTGATAGGGAATTTGTGTTTAAGGACTGTCCAGCTGTGGTGCTGCAGAATGAATAAGAGGACAGCAGGACAGACCCTGGGGGAATAGGGATTGTTGTAGCACCCATGTGTGATCTGCTGTTACAGTAAGGGTGTCTCCCTGGATCCATGGCTTGTGTAGTTCCTTGACACACTGAGTTAGGGTTTGGCCACATGACTTGTACAGGTCAATAAAATGTTAACAATATGATACAAGCTGAGATTTCAAAAGCACTTGTGCATTAGGACCTTACTCTTTTGAAATATTGCCACTGTGTGGCGAAGCCCATGCTCTCTTCTGAAAGACATATGACCCAGTCAACAGCCAGCATCACCTTCTGGACATGTGAGCAAGGCCCTCTAAGACCAATAGCCCCAGTTGGCTCATAGGAACAGTCACCACCTGAGTGATCCCAGGTAAGCTAGCAGAAAACCACATAGCTGAACCCCATTCAAAGGGATGACAATGGAATTATGAATGAATAAATGGATGCTGTTTTAAATCACTATGTAGGGCTGGGGATACAGCTCAGTTGGTAGAGTGCTTGCCTTGTATGCACAAGGCCCTGGGTTCAATCCCCAGCACCACACACAAACACACAAAAAAATCACTATGTGTTGGTTGTGTTGTTATGTAATGATAAATAATTAATATAGTTAGTCTGAGACATATTAATATCAGTGGAAATAAAACATATGCATATGATATTTGAATAATATGTGTTTCTTGATGACTTTGTGATGAAGGGCTCAAGGAAAAGGAAAAGCAGGTCAAAGAACAGAAGAATTGCTGGGCATGGTGGACACCCACCTATAATCCCAGCGGCTGGGGAGGATGAGGCAGGAGGATTGCAAGTTCAAAGCCAGCCTCAGCAAAAGCAGGCATTAAGTAACTCAGTGATACCTTATCTCTAAATAAAATATGAAATAGGGCTGGGGATGTGGCTCAGTGGTGGAGTGCCCCTGAGTTCAATCCCTGTTACCAAAAACAAAAAACCAAAAAACCAACAAACAACACAGAAGAATTCATAAATAAGGAGCACAAAGTTTACAGTAAAAATTCAGAAATGAAGTTGTGTGAGCAGTCTGCTTAAGTAGTTAAAAATTACTAACTCCTCTGTTTTGAAAGAACAGTCATTAATGTCTAAACAGTATGATAATATTTCAAAGATTCAGTTTAATAAATGTATCTGTAAAATTTTAAAGCATTACCAAGCTAGTAACTTTTTTACTTTGTATGGAAAAATCAATCTTTAGAATAAACAGAAAAGCAAATAGACTCAAAATCAGTTAACTATATGGCACTAATGATAAAACTCATTTCAATGTGTTAGCTGTCTAACTATACAGCACTACCTTCATTTAGCAATTAGTGTTAAGATTAGGGCTTCTAATGGAATTACTCTCATAATTGATTAGTTAAATTTACAGATGAAGTTATATTTACAACATGATAGATGCTGTGAATGTGGACATTAGGAAACCGTACAATTCAAGAAACAGTTCCTCAGGTGTTTAGCACTGAGCTTTGTGTTTAAGAACGTTTGCCTAGAAGGAACACCTCAGTCAAATGCCCTACTTATTATTATATTTAAAAAATCCAAGTAATAAGCAACAAAGGTACTCTAGAATGAGATAAAAGGGAAATACATTTATAACTAAAAGAAATAAGAGTAAATAAAAATCTAAAAGGTAGAGAAAGTCTATAAGTTAAAATAACCTACACGTATTTTCTTTCTTTCTTTCTTTTTTAAAGAGAGAGAAAATTTTTTAATATTTATTTTTTAGTTTTCGGTGGACACTACATCATATTTTTATGTGGTGCTGAGGATCAAACCCAGAGCCCCCTGCATGCCAGGCGAGTGAGCTACCACTTGAGCCACATCCCCAGCCCACCTACACGTATTTTCATAGGTCAGGGGAATCACCTGGACACAGTCATAATCCAAGACAGTCTGAGGGTCTCCTAAAAATGGAAGGACAGAATTTTTTTTAAAGGATATAAACAGACGGATTTTAAAGATCTTATATGAACAAAGAAGTCAGTGTTATTAAAAAATAAGTCAAAATAAGTGTTTAAAATCAAAGTGTAAGTATACCTTTGAGTATATAATTTCCATAAAGTTTGTTAAAGAAAAAAAAAAAAATGAATCCCCAAACAAATCCAAGCTAAACTACGCTAGTCTTTTTCAGTTTTTCAAAAATGCTGCCTGTCAAGCAATTTTGGTTATTATTTTCTGTCAGGCTGAGGAGTCATGGATTAAGAAAAAGTATTAGGATTGGGGGGATATGGAAAATCTAGATTAACAGGGGCCCTCGTGTTAGATGAATATAGTTTAACGATAGCTTATAAAATTAAAAAAGGGGGTCTTCCAGGAAACTTTGTACTTTGGTTTGTCAGAAAACTTGTACATAAAGGTTTACCAAGTTTCTGAAATTAGAATACATTGCACATAACTAACCAATTTGGAATCTCACTCCTCCCTTCCTTTCCCATGAAGTTAGCTCATGCCAGCACCACCTCTGGGGAGAGTTGAGCCATGCGCTTTACTAGAGCGTCAGTGTTTAAGCGAAGCACCCCTAGTTCCTGCTGGGTTCCCCAAATCCTACTAGGCCGACTCAGGCCGGTTCCCGGAGGCTTGGAAACCAGAGCCGGGTTCCTCCTCTTGGCTGGGCGGAGCCATACCCGCGGGGAAAGTGGAGGGTGCCAAAGCGCTGCGCTGGCTTCAGTAGCCCCCAGGCGCCGCAGCTCTGTGTAGGGAGTCCGGGGCACACCGACCTCTCTCGGGGCCTGTAGGAGACCGGCAGTCACCAGCGTGGAAGCGCGCCGCCCGCCAGGCCGCCCTCGACCCGCCCAGACGCTTCGCCCCGCCCGAATATCCCGGCAAGTGGCCGAACCAGCCGGACGAGCCGAACTCGCCGGGGCTCCCGGCAGCAGCAGGTGGCCCCGACTTCCCACATTCGCGCTGCCGGGTTGCGCTCCGGAGCCCGGTCGGCTGTCCTCGCCGGCGGGATGGAGGCGGACGGGGACCCGGAGGAGCTCGCCCGTCTGCGCTCCCTCTTCGCTGCCTGCGACGCGAACCGCTCCGGGCGCCTGGAGCGTGAGGAGTTCCGCGCGCTGTGCGCGGAGCTGCGAGTGTTGCCGGCCGATGCCGAGGCCGTGTTCCAGCGGCTGGACTCCAATAGCGACGGCGTCATCACCTTCCAGGAGTTCGCGCGCGGCTTCCGCGGGGCCCGGCGCGGAGGACGGCGCCGGGGCTGGGGGCTACTGGAGCCCGCGCCTGCTACTGCGGAGCCGGGACCCGAACCCGCGGACTGCGGCGAAGACGTGGACATTCTGGACGACGCCGGGGATCTGTCCGCCCCTTGGGGACCGACGAACCGGGGCCGGGCTTGGCAGGACTTCCAGGCGCGACTCGGAGACGAGGCCAAGTTCATCCCCAGGTGTGTGTGCTTCAGGGGCGGGAGGTGATGATGGCATTTCCTGCCTTCTCTGCTGCACTGCCTTCTGTCCTGAACTTTCAGAACACGCAGACCCAGTGGATCCGGCTCTTCTGTGAGTTGCTTTTCTCTGTTCAGCAACTTACTTTAACTTTGCCAAAAAAAAGTTAAGGGAATGCGTTCACATAATTCTGCTGTAGGGGGAAAGTTTCACTTGCTGATTTCTGAGCCGTGCAAATGGCACTTTGTTAATTACAGGCGCCACCTTGAAACCTGCAGCCTCCCATACACGCACACAGCACGGGTTTAGGAGCGCTCCCTAAGTCTCAACTGGGCCCTATTACGTCATCCTCTACTCAAAGCCTTCTGGTTGCACCCTGAGGCTAATGCCTGGGCAGTTTGCCAATTTAGCATCCTTTATAGTAGCTTTTGGATTTGCTATTTTCCCAAGACTAGGTAGAAGAGAAAACTTGGTCAGGCATATACATTTATTCACTGATATTCACTGATGCCTACTGTGTGATAGGCATTTTACAGAGTTCATGCCTTTAATTTTCAGAATTCATGGAAAGAAGACTTATCTCTGATTGAAGGAGAAACTGACCCAGAAATTAAGGTACTTGGTCGCTTAATTAAAGACCAGGGATTCAACTCTCACTTTTTATACACTAGAATAAAATGACAAAATCATACTGTATATTCATTGCCCCTATGATTCTGAGAGAAATAAATAATACTAAGTTACTAACTTAATTCACAGGGGGTAAGGGAATGGCGGCAGGTGTGATTTCAGGACATAGAGGGAGAGATGCTCAGAGCTTTTTTCAGTTTCATTTGTTTCTGTCCATGTCTTGGTGTCAAAGTAGGTCTCCAGCTGCTATTTCTGCTTTTCAGACTGTAGTGCTGAACATGCTTTCCTGCTTCCTGTTTGGATATTAGCTGACAATATATTGAGCTCTAGATGTCCTTATTGATATAAGAAAGGCTCCGTTTTATTGATCAGAATGCATATCTGAGACTTAAAACTAAGAAAAGGAAATAGTCTTGGGAGTTGTCAGTGTGCTTGTTCATTGGTTCAAGGCTCAAGATCTGGGAGTCCTTGCTTCCTCCTCCTCCCAGTGTCTCTCTCAAGTCTAGAAAGTAAGGGGAATACTGTGCAGGGGGAATGACTCACTCAGGTGAAAGAGGGAGTGTGTGGAGAAAGTGGGTGTGATACTGATCCTTTCTACTGTTTACAAGTGAGGTAAAAATGCAGTGTCTCTACCAGGGAAGTAGAAAATTTTTACATTACTATAAACTATATTGTTTGTTTGGGTCATCTTTCATCCTGTAACTTAGTTTGGATCCAGCTAATTTTTTAAAAGTAACAATCTTAGGAATGAAGCAGGGTGAGTCCACATCATATTTGATGTGTGTGTGTGTGTGTGTGTGTGAAATCTCCTTCTCACAGATATCAAGTCTGCAGCAGATGTTTGACACTTGATCTTTAAATGATTAGTGACCTTTTTAGGGTCAAAGTGGATACCAGGAGTAATATCATTGGTGGAATTACTATTATCATGCCTTTCCAAATTCTCCAGAGGCTATCAAACTTAATGGGCACCAGTGTCACTTGGTAGACTTGTGTCCTGAGTCCTTCCAATCTGAAATTAACAAGTATAATATTTGCCTTCCAGTACTTGTTAGTGGAAAAGAACTAAATTGAGTTGCTTCATCTGATTGTTACCATGGCGACCATTAGTTGTTTTGGTAAATTGGATTGCTTCTCCTCTACTTCCTCATACAACTGTTCATCTTTTCTTCCTTCCATCCAAATGTGATAACAGTCTTTTGTTATTGATAATGCTGTTGTCATTATTTTAGCCAAATTAATTCTGCAAGCATTATTGAGTATCCACCATGTGCCAGATACTGTCATAGGTACTGTCCTAGGTGCCAGGGGACAAAAAGAAGGACTTGGATGTAATTCACACTCTTAAGGACTTCACAGTGTGTGTGAAACATTCCCCAAAAGTTTCATCAAAGAACATTTAAGGACTGGTGGTGTAGCTCAGTGATAGAGCACTTGCCTAGTATGGGTGAGTCCCAGGGTTTGATCCCTAGCATAACTCTCCCCTCACCGCCCCCCCCCCCATAAAAAAGCTACAAGCTTTTAAAGGCAAGAGGATCATTTGCAGAAAATGCCATATATTGTGGATATAACCTAATACACTGCTGCAAGTAGCAATTTTCTTAGAAAATTTCCTCCTCCTCCCAGTGGAGGAATTTGGAATTTTTATCTTTAAAAGACATCAACTAGTTGTTAATTTTACTACATGATATGTTGGGCCTTCTTTTAATATAAAATATTATATTTTCTTCTGAGGGGAAAATTGTTTTTCTAGGAAGGTATGCCCTTCCATCTGTGGCTTTGTTTCCTACCTGAAATTCTATCTTATCTAGTGGTGCCCTGCCCTTAACCTGGGGGAGGGCAGTATTCATATCTAGTTTGAGAAGTGTGGATACTAAATATAATAATGTTTTATTCCTATAGAGGCAAAATAGTAGTGTTAACAGGATTTCCATTTCAAAGATCATTCAAGCAAAATATTAAGTGATTTTGACTTTAAACTACCCGGCCCCTGATAATTGTGAGATTAGAGAGAAAATAATATTGCATTGTAAAACAATGTTAGAACACCCTTTGAGATATGTGCCAAAATTGTTTTCTCTTAGAAAATTCAGGGGTCACTTCCTTGAAGTCTTGGGAGGGGGAGTCCCAAGGAGTGTGTGACCTGTTAACCTGAGTCCAGCAGGTATACATGGTCTTCAAATAAACATTTACTGGATAATCAAATAAATTTGTATTTTCAAATTCCTTAGTTTGTGTGTAAGTATTTAAAGAGAGTGCAGTTACTTTATGCTGTGTTTTCTCCATTTCTTTTGTAGATTCCTCCACTGTTTTTTGTAAGTTCCTGGCATAAACTGCTGGTAGTGTTCAAAGATTGCCAAGGAGAGGAAGAAATAGGGTGCATGAGTGTTGAACTGTTGATAGCAGACATAGGCGGGTGAGGGAGACTGAAGGAGAGTTCACCTCTTTCCTGTAGTCAGATCTGTATATTTTCAGAGTCTTAACTCCATTTTTATCAGTTTTAAATTGTTATTTGTGAATTGGTTCACTTTGATAAATCAATTTAGAAATTCACATTATCAGTCAGGAATGGGATCATGCAGTTGGCCAAATAGGGCACAGACTTAGGTTGACTGCCTGTCTGCTAACATCGTGATTGGTTATCTACCAGGCAGGGCTAGGCAGGATTTTTTTAAACAACCAACATCATTCCTGTGTGATTAGTTGTTTCACATTGTTTTGTGGAGTTTTTGCGTACACCATTTAGAAAGGGATGCTTTTATTTAATAATTTAAAAACAAGAAACTTAATTGAGAAGAACCAAGACCATACATGTGTGAACTGTACAAATACTGGGAAAACAGTGTACATCAGCATGCCCCTCCTACTAGAATAGTGATTACCAAACTCGCAATTGAGCATCAGCTCCATTTAGCTGTGCATATTTTAAGAACTAGAAGCAGAGGCAAAGTTTCCTTACTAATCAGGGTTCTTTTGTATTTCTCTGCCTTGGGTTCCACTTTAGCCCTTTCCAGTGTGATTGTTTTCTATTGTAATCCTGTAGCTGCTTCCTCAGCGCCCTACATTTCCATGACCTTGGCAAGGAAGGAAAGGGAGGAGAGATGGAGGGAAAGAAAGATCTGCACAGAGAGTGAGCCCAAGATGCAGGAGAGAGAGGGTACCATGAGAAGGAGCAAGATAGAGATCAACCAACAAGGGAGTGGAATGGAAGAGGGCTGTTTGAGTCCATTGTGCCTCAGTTTTCTCCTCCTTTCACCCACTGAGCTTTTGGCACTGATCCACCTACAGATCCACCTACAGATGGGAGAAGAAATTCAGCTTTTCTATTTTTGATCTTGGCTCTTGACTATCTTCAACATGTTAGCATCTTGGTACTTTGGTGTGTGTTGATAGTGTTTAAAGATAAGTGTATATTTTCATGCACATGGCTGGTAATATGTGGTTGTCATGCAAGGAGATGAGATTTCTTCCAGCCTTGCAACATAGTGATGGATTGCACACCAGTGCTGAATGAGGTTCAAGGCTGTTTTAGACTGTGTGTGGCGTTTACCTTTGGCACCGTCTTTGAAATCTGTTAGTGTATTAGCCACAGGCATTCTGGAGATCTCTCTGCTTTCTGGATTCTGATCGAGGATCCTAATGTCTGTGTCTGTATCTGTATCTTTAACTCTATCTCTTTATTATCTTTACTGTTGCTGTTCTGTTGCTTTTCTCTCTTTAATATGTCTTTTGTCATAATTATATGTATTATTACCCTGATGAGTGGGAGAAATCTGTCTTTTAGAATCACAAATATTCTTTTACCCTTGGAGCCTTTCTTCTGGGCCTTGTATAAATCCATGCATGGCTTAGGTCTCATGGGTTCTGCTTGGTCACTCTCATTCTGATATTTGAATTCAATCTCAAGATAGTAATTTCTTTTCAGCCTTCGTCTTTAGAGGACTCTCAGTTTTGACCACGTGGACAATGGCTTTCTGACTCTCAGATCTCACTTGATTGCTCAGAGCGTGGCTCTCAGAATTTGAAGAGAGATGATTTAATCTGTCGTTATGATTTAGACAAATAAAAAGGCTTAAAACTGAGTGTACTTGGGAAGACTAGACTTTAAGAACATAGACTGTTCTCTAGCTTTTCTTTGAAGCCAAATTTTTTATTTACTCTTCTCCCCAGTTATTGTTCAAATTCATGGTTGTAGTAATCCTATCACTCTGAGCATTTAAATCTTTCTCTGTTTCTTCATTTCTGCCTTGGTTACTCAGTATTTTTTCATTTGTAACATAAAAGTAGCTGCATCATGCTGATCTGCCCTGAATAGAAGTTTGGAAGCCCATAGCTGAAAGGACAGGTGGCCTTTAAGAAGCTGGGAAAGGTC